TTACTTTATATAAACTGACCTGTGAATGCAGATTCCCATTCAATTACTTAATGAGAATCTATACTGATTCTTCAGTAAACGGATGGTTATTTCTGGCTCTATTTTTGTATATGTATTTAACCAGCAATTAGAAAATATAAGAGGATGACATTGAAATGAAAAAGTTCAGGCTAAGTGGCTATAGTGCTATCTGTAGTGCTATACTGCAACTGAAATTCTACTAAATATAAACAGCCCTGATTTTTGTATTAGGGTCAAGCAAACATGCCACACTAGTACTTCAATATGAAGTTTCAGTTAATTCACTCTAATCTGGTCAGCTGTTTTGTTAAATGAACCAAGCAAAGGCATCCAGATAATACCTACTCTTCCCCTTAAACAGAATCGTCTGCACCAGGACCTGGGAGAAGCATTCAGGCTGTTATTCTAGTTCAAAGCAATGAGAAATAAGAAAAGAACAGAAGGAGTAGTAAAAAAACAGTTTCCAGCTGCTCAAGATGAAAGAAGTATAGAACAGATTTGGGAGGGGGGGGAAGAGTTAATGCAGTAGCTAAGCGTAGGTTACATTATCTAAGAACTGCAAGAATTTTAAAACTGAGGCAATCACCTCACAAAGTTAGCCAAGCAGACCCTCCATGGACCGTGAAAGTTCCTGAAAGGAAAGTTCTCAAAATTATCTTCTTTCTCCTCCCCAAAATTGGAGAGCAGTAAGGTTCTGCTATAAGCCAAACTTGCAGGCAAAACAAACCAATGAAAAAGAATTCAAGTACCGTATGTTGTGAGTAAGCAAAGCACTTAACTTTATAAGAAAAACACATGAAAAAAACCCAATAGTGCAAAATCAAGTAGAATTAAAATAAACAATTACATTTCATTTCTCAAAAATGCCCCCCCCCCAATTTTATTCAATGAAAAATCAAGGGGGAAAAAAACAAAATTATCATGGACTCCATGGAAAAACCGTCTCCCCCCCTTTGTTCACCTCAACCCTTTTAGGAAACACTTCATTGCTGGTTTAAGCATTTCTAGGTGTGAGAACATCACCTATTTATCTGTTCCAGAAAAGGCAGATCAACACAAATACATGAATACAAAGTAAAACCCACCACATTCATGGAATCAGAACAAGGAGCTCAAAATTCTATCATAGCCCTGTCTCTAACAATTGTAAATTCTGTAGCTACTAGCTGAGGACATTTGAAAAACATGTTGCCTGAGAAATGTTTGAGAAAAATATTTTTTCTTAGGGTGGGCACAGTGAATAAATGGCATACAATGGAGCTTAATAGTTTAGAAAATCAGAAAAAATGCATCTGAATGAAACCACTTTATGAGTTATTAAGTAGACACACAGTTAGATATTGTAAAATACAGCTAAATAACAGGGAGTAAGAATACCTCAATTATCCGGTTATCCACAGGCATAGTAGTACTGACCATGTGGACATTTGGGGTAGAAGTGGATCTCTGTCTTTGAGAAAGGGAACATTCAGGAGAAGGATTTGTTCCACTGAATGTGAAGACATGAGGTGTAGAATATCTATGCTGAGAACTAAGGAGAGAAAACAAAATTATAGACGCATGCTTTTGTATAAAGAGATTAGCATTAACTTGTGAGAATCT